GTGTGTGTGTGTGTGTGTGTGTGTGTGTGTGTGTGTGTGTGTGGTTGGGAGGGGGAACAAGAGGGCAGGGGCGGAGCCGCTGTTGTGAAAGGAAATATGAGTCTGTGTTGAAAGGGGAGAGCATGATATGCACAGCGCTGTAATGTGTGCCAGGATGGGAGGGTGGGGATGTGCGCAACTGTGTCAGAATGTGTGAGAGATGGGGAGGGAATGAGGTGGCCAAACTGAACGGGACGGAAACAGGGAGTGTGAAAAACAGAGCGATGGATAGGAGGAGAGCATCAATAGCAGAGAAGAGGGGGGTGGGGTGGTTAAGTGTCTTTTATGAGCATATTTATTCCAGACTTAATAGGCTGTATATCTCTGAGAGCTGTTTTTTTAAAGATTATGTATTTTTGTGTGGGAGCGCTCTCAACCATCTTTGGCTAATTATTTTTCCAATGTGTTGCATGCTTCTTTTGTCAGTGCGGCAACTCCTAATTATGCACTTTCCTATCTCATTTACTACACCTGTTAAGCCGCTTCAACTCGCCCTGACCCTGACATTACTCCAGAATGGTGCTTATGAAAACACACGCACACACACATCCACACACATGCACACACTGAAGCACGCATTCAAGTCATCCATCCAATTTTGATTCAAGGCCAGGTCCAGGAGTCAACAGGGCTCAACACAGACCTCGCTCTCTCCAGCTTCACATTCAAACTGGTCAAACCAAACAATAAATGGACCTGTTAGATCCTGAGAAGGTCCATGTGATGTCCACCTGAGCCAATGTGTGAACAACGTAAGTGACTGACAAATAACTCCAGTCTATTCAGTAACATACTGTAAATTGAAAGCACTCACGATGTTTTGATATCAGCTGTTAAAATCTGGGGGTCAATGAAGTAATTTCCTTCCTTTAGCTGGAAGAATTAATGGGGAAAACAAGACAAAACCTCTACCAGACTCTGCTGGCCAGCTTCTCATGAGGAGGTCAGTTGAATTAGCCCTCTCACCCATTTCGTCTGTGGTTTTATTGGATTAATATATAATCTTAGATAGAGTTTTCACTATGATAATCACAGAGGGATTAAAAGCCGTGCAAATCAATACTGTAGACTAATTAAAGGATTTTTTGGTTCCTTCACCTTCTGAGTTGCTTCTGGCAGAAACTTTGAGACCTGACAGAGATCGACGCAGAGAAAAAAAAGGTTTTGCCTCCTGTGTACATTAAAGCATAAAAATATGCTTTAGCAGACAGAAAATCTCAATTCTGAGCTCGCAAATGACTATAATAGGGTTCTTTTAACATATTTCAAATAAAACACCAAATAAAATGGGTCCCTTGGCATGATGGTCCTCACCCATGTTTGTATTTTCAATCTGCTCTATAAACTCCTTCCCAAAGGTCCTCCCGCCAATGTACAGCTTTGGTTTTATTACTTGCTGACGTTACACAAAACAGCCAACACCAAATAACAGAAAACTAAAAATAGTGGCTGCCTGGTGAAGCACTTAGTGTGACAAAGTCCATGCTAATGCTACTGTTTGATGCTCTGCTACTCAGCAGCAAGGACAAATAACAGTTTTAGTTCTAGTATGGAGGTGTGGAGATTTGTTTCTTTCTGTCGTTTTACTAAGAAACATAGAAATATCTGAATCAAACCTGTGTGAAGTATATCTGACCACATTTTCATTTGCATACAAATACCTTCTAAAACTTACAGTTGTGGTATAGAAATCTGTCTGCCATGTTTTCGCAAAAGCACACTAATAATAGGAATCATGAACATTTTGTACCAACAACAACAGCAGAATTATAGTATCAAAGCATCAATAAACAGCCTGTCTTTAAAGCTCTTTTCTGTGCAGCTAACTGCAGAGAATTAGACACTTTCTGTCTCTATTTAACCAAGCATTAGTTTATTTGTTGTATATATACAAATTATTATCATTCAGTCAGACATAGCTTAGAAAAGAGACAGTTTTGTTCTTTCACACTGGTCTCTGTCTCAGCTGTAGTTTGGTCTTGAATAACTGGTAACGACTGATGTTTTAGGCACAATCTTGCCGGCACCAGGTTGGTCCACTTAGGCACTACTGATCCAAACGCTGAGTACTGCAACAGCCAGCAATCTAATTGATAATCCACTCAGACTCACAATGTTATTTCTCCATTATATGCCAGCTCAGTTTCTCCTGGGAATTATAATAGGTCCATGTTTGTGTCTTCCTTAACTCTTAGAGAGACTAATGTTAAGGACTTTTGCTTTTCTGTTCTGGGTTGATTTTTCTTAGCAGGATGATAAATAAAGGATACACTTACTCTTACTACTATAAAATCACTAATATTAAGATTACTTGATATATTCACCCTTATTGTTTATCAGATCTCAACAACTGAGGGCTGAAACAGTTCATTTTTCCACACATTTATAAAGATTTCACAATTAAAATAACAGGTTTAATCTCAGCATAAATCATGTTTTTTTGAGTTTTGAAACGTGAGAACATGCTGTCCTTGCTGATAAGACTGTCAGTGTGTGAAGTCTTAGGAAAACAGCTTATCCAAAAAAGAGGATGCTATTAACAGAATGACCTTTTATACAAAACAGTTCCTGTAAAAATGAGTGTAAGTTGGAGGTCATAAAAGAAAGGGGGTCCTGTTATGCTGCAATTTAAAATGATGCTAAGTGTTTACATTTAATAATGTTAATCTTTATTAATAATGCATCCAATACTAATTAGAGAATCAGACATTCAACTGCAGGGGAAAAATAGAATGCAACAATAAGTCAGATTTCCCATTTAATATAGAAAATAATGCATTTTTTCCTGAAAAAAAGAAGAAGTTCCCTTTTCAAGGTAGAGCAAAGTTAAAAAGGAAACATTTAGAAGATGTTTCTTAGTTTGGAGTGTGCTGCACTTTCCTCCTTCAATCAATTACTCATTCATTGCTTTGCTGGTATGAAGGCATAGCGTCGGGAGGTTACCTGAACATAAAGCAGGTTCAGCTGAACGGGGTCCCGCGAGTCCACATTCTGGTCTGAATAGAAGAACTTGCGCCTGAGCAGCAGGGTCTCATTTTCTTCCACTCCCTGCTCCCTGAAGGTCCTGCTGTGATCCAACCAGTTCACTAGCCAATCAATACAAACACTCTGTTAGCACATACACAAAGAAGCCTACAGGTTTGCTTTCCAAAGATGTTAGAAGAAGCAATTATTTACTGCAGAGAGAAAGACCCGTGTTCATGTGTTCATACATTTAATCATTTAATCAGTGTTCGAAATAAATATTATTTTCTTGTTCTTTAATTTAATTTGTCTTGTTTAATACTGTAGCTTTCTTAAACTTTCAGAAGTCCATGCAAAAATTAGACTTGACTAATAAAATACATATTTTGATTATAATCTTTACAATGTGGCACAATGTAATACAACATAGTGCGATGGAATACAATACATAACAAAATATTAAGAAATGATACAATACACTGTGACATGGTATGATAAATAATGCTAAACAATAAGATGTGATCTTAGCTATAGTATACAGTATGTTACAACAAGACTCTTCAACTAAACTACTCAGGGGGTCACAGTTACTGAAAGCCAACAGATCAGGGGCAGGACATCCAGCAATTAAATAAATACAGTCTACTTTAAACACACACACAAATATGACATTTGATTGCAGTATGATGACATTGCAGTATGATATAATATATGATAAGATATCCTACAATACAATATAGAATACTTTATTGTGTTGTATCTGTGTATTGTATATCTCTTTAGTCACAATCTTAAAAAAAGATATCAGGCTCTCACARTCATCATCTGTATGAAGCTTGGCTTTGAGCTTTTCCATTTTCCTCTCATCTCGTAGCAGCAGAGTTCTGTCCTTCTTCAGCGTCCCAGTACAATCCTCCTTCTTGTCTTCTGTCACTTCTTGAATGAGGGAGTACTCCTCATAGTTAGTGATTCCTAAAAAAATAAAGTTAGTTCAGGACTTTTCAGAGGACATGGTGCTTCAGACTCCTGACAATTACAATTAAGATAAAAAAAATATATCAACTGCATTCTCTTTTTTTTTTCCATTTATTTTGTTCCTTTGAAACAGAGAAGAATGAAAGCTGGTAGAAAGCCAGAATACTAAAACAGAAGGCAAGAAGAAGAAGCCAAGCAGAAAGCCCTCATCTAAATAAACACTTTCCAATAAAGCTATCTGCCACATACACATCCTTCTCTTCCTCACCCAATTAGGCTCAGTAGTATCCTATTAGAATTGAAAAATATAGCTTAGGGGACCCCTCTTTAGGTTTGGACCTTCAGAAGAACACTTGGGCATTTGTTTTAAACATGCTTCTTTAGGCTTGATAAATTATGGCTTTGTACTTCAAATGAAGCCTAATTTGGATTGTGACAAGAATACATAAATGCTTTAAGTGCTTCATAAATGCTCTCCCAATATAAACATTAGTTCATAATGACACTGAACTAAACTGTAATATGATATGAAGCCAAGCTGTAACACAAAATAAAACAAAAAAACGAATTAGGCTTTACAGAAAACTCTCACCTATTCTACTGCATATAGTAACAAGTAGCTCGCCAACTGTTTTTGAGTCGTCCACCATGATGGTTTTAATGGTCCCATCCAGCATTTTGATCTTTTGCGGCCTTTGTTTCTTCTTATACTCCAAAATGTCCTGCGAAAACAGGACAGGAATCAAGATGACACCAACAGCTCCTGATAATCCCTCTTAGCTGTAAAATACATTTGCTTCCAGCAAGCAGGGAGGCATAAATATTTCAGCTCCCACTAGATAATATAAATCACTTCAGGAAATGATAAGTGACACTGACAGGTCTCCACCCCAGACCGTATGATTTAATCTTACTCCATTTCGTAGCATGTAGTAATCCAGGGTTCTTCCAGATTCAAGCCAGATTCCTTTCCTGGGATCCTCATCAGACAGGAACAGGCCATAATCTGAGGCTGAAAACAGAGAAAAACAGAGCATGCAAATGCTGGTGCGTATAGTTTTCCATCATGTAAATTAGATTCTGGTGTCATTGTCTAACCTTGTCCGCTCTGGGCTTCTGGAACTCTCTCTCTGATGATCCTGCAGGCGTCATACACAGGAGTGGATGGCTCAAACTGCATGGTCTTCACCACGTTGCACTGACGTACACAAATCTTTAACGACAAGGCCACCATCTTGGTGGGTAGWTGAATGGCCTCACCAACCTACACACCTGGAAAACAAAARTAAAGAGCAAAAAATTGGTTTCAGATCATTTTTATTGGCCAATATATTGAATAAKTGGTCTGTGCCATAGTGTTTATTCACTAGCCATAATTAAAGCATTGCCATGCGAAGCAATCAGGGTTGAAACTATGAACAGGAGGTCTCAGAGGCCAAGTATAACACCACAAGGCACAGAGCAAATCATCCCAAATATGTCCTCTGGGTCTTTTTTATCTGTCATACTGAACATGTATTGGCAGTAAACCTGCCTCAGCAGCTTATTTTTCTGCAGCTGCTCAAAAAAAAAAAAATCAAAGTGTGACAATAAAATTAACTGACGAAAAACCTTTAAGCAGAATAAAAATTGCAACATTATATAATCTGCAAGAAYAATATGGCGTTTACAATACATTCATTTGGGCTTCTTGTGGTTTGCACTCTCCTCCACAAGATCTTACTGTGAGACAAATCTGTGGGTGTTTTATCATGCAGCCATTAGGCTGAAATCAATTCTGGTATTCTGGGATTTGTGGGGGGAAAAAAGAGAAAAGACTGATAATGCAAAGTTTTTTTTAACCTCGTCCTTGACCTTGGCTTCAACACAGACAGAGAGAGAGAGAGAGAGATGAAATAGACAAATAGGCCACCTATAGATCTTTGTTTTTCACAGTTCCTCTCTGATCTACTGTATACACTGAAAATATGCTTTAAATTTAATTGAAAATGTATTTTTTTCTAAAACCCACATGCAAAAAACAAAACAAAACAAAAATAAAGGCACTGGAATAGTTCGAAAAATGCAACTTGCTTAATTGTAATGTTACATTGTTTTGCCTTTTGAACAAAAAAAGACACCTAACGTTCTGAGCTAAATATATTTCAACCACAGATAGATTTTAGGAAAACTTCCAGAAAACAAGTATACAATGTACACCTACAAGTAGAGCTGCCAAATGTCCTGTATTTTTCGCCAAATCTCCCATATTTTGCCTGCAGTCCACAATCAGAGCTGTCACAATACAGTAGGCATTTGTCTAACTGAGCTGAAGTGGGGCAGAGGGACGATGCGGAGGGGGCCAAATGCAAGAACTACATGAAACAGTGAGTGCACTGAAATGACCGTGGTACTCTCGCTAACTCCTTAAGTGAAAGGGGCCCCATGACAGCCGACAACAACACAGACTGTATCAGATTGACAGCCATTTACCTGTCAAGGAAAATTGCAAGCAGTACAGTTTGTTGAAATGAAGTGATTCTGTCTGTGTGAGGGTGTTTTTATATGAGGTCTGTTTTTATTAGTTGGTTTTTAGAATTTTGACTTAATTTTGAGATTACAATTATTTTTTACTTTGTTAGGTGTGTTTTTTTAGCCTTGTTTAGTGGGTGTATACAGTATATCCACTTTGTATACAGTATGTAGCCTATGTGTGTGTGTATTTGTATATAGAGATGTATATTTAAGGCACTGCATAGCTGGTGAGAAAGAAGTTTGTTTAATCCTTTGTTTAGAACTACCCAGGGAAATGACAATAAATGAAATCTTGAATCTTTTGTTTACTGAATTTTTGAACCAGATATAAACTACTGTTAGTGTGGTGTGTGACCATATGTTTTATTTTTTAAGAAACTAATATTATAAATCTAAAAGCTGACACAAATATACTATCAAACTGTATAATGGCACATTTGACCTAACCATTGAAACCATGGATGAAATAAGAAACATTTAAAATACATATAAAACATGTAGTGTTTATATAGATGTAGTATAGCCCTGATTTACATCTTTTTATATTCTTGAGTAGTTATTTTTCGAAATGGTAAATGCTTAGAAAGTTTTGAAAATCACAACAACATACAGTATATTTACATTTCTTCATCCTTGTGTTGACTGATGCCATCACCAGCTAAGAAGCTGTAAGGTCAAAAAAAAAAAAAATAAAAACGCATTGATTAAATCTTTTTAATTCATTATGTTGAAGAAATTTACAGTTATCAGAGGTTAGTACTGATGTTAAAAGCACAACACTATATTTTTAGGTTTTCCTTTTTGTAATGTTGASAATGTTTAATCGATTATGTTTTGATTGATATAGATTAGTTACATGTCTGAATTATATAACAACACATAMTCAACCGTTGTGATGACATTAGCTGAGAATTTTGTCTGAATGCCTGTGATTCAGCCGTAGGTCAGTAGGGGGCGAACGCAGGCATTGAAGAAGGTGTTGAGGATTTTGTCTGAATGCCTGTGATTCAGCCGTAGGTCAGTAGGGGGCGAACGCAGGCATTGAAGAACATGTATAAAATGATGAACTTCCTGGTTTTTCGCGAGTGTTGGTTTCCTGTCAGCTTGGGTGAAAATAAACCTCACTCAGATCCAGAATTCTGGTGTTGTATGGTTTGATTCCTTCTACAAATCATTTTATTTAACAATGGTGGTTTTAATATCCACTTCAGTTTATTGAATACAAATTTTTCTTACAATGTTACATAGAAATAAGCAAAAGAAGCAAAAATAAATTTTGCTTAGGTGGGTGAAACTCAAATATTGTATGGTGACATCACAGTTATACATTACATCATTAATCCCAGCCCCTCGAGAAACTGTCCCATATTTTGGAGGTGCTGATTCCAAWTGAAGATGGCCACCATTACCAATTGACCTGACACAACACAGAGCTGTCTTAAAGCTGACTTTGGCAGCTTTAAATGTAATAGGTTCAATTTTGGTGTGGTGTTAGCTGAACCGCATCCCCAAAGTAACATCTGAAAGGTTTGCAGTAAACACTGCAAAAACGTTTGTTTGACCTGTTTTAGCAAATAAATCACAGACTTTAATAAAGACAAGTATTAATCAATGAGAAGCCAGTTTCATTTGCCTGTAACATGGTCACAGAACAAAATTATCAACCACTAGACAGATTATATAAACTCCCTAAAAGTAATTATTGGATGTTCATGTACAACWAATTGAGATTTGGAGTTAACCACATTCAAAATGAGCCACAGCTAACTGACCTTTGCCAACATAAAAATGGTTATAACTTACTTCACATTACAAAAAATTGGAGTAAAGTTTACGTGATCAGAGCTTAGAGTCATCCTCAACTAATACTTCGAGAATTACTACATTTCCTGATATGTGCCAGTAACAGATGGATGGGGCGGCCATCTTGAATTTAAACTCTAGCATGAAAGGCGGCCAACGAAATGAATTCTGTCAAGGAATGATTGGAATTAAATGTCATCACACAGAAAGGTTGAAAATAATTACATGATTCACTGTTTCCACTGTTCTAAAAGCAACATTCTGTACAAAAATGAAATACTTCTGTGTCCACATGACGAATATGAAGGCAAAAGTTCAAAACGTCACCCTGACAYGATTCAGAACTCAGCCACATATGAGAACAAAGATTTTTTTTTGTGTGCCAGGATTCACAGCCTATTTAAAGGCTGTTTTAGAGCCAGAACAGAGGAAGTCTGAAAAGTAAATTTTCTTGTACTGATGGAGTTGTGAATGGGCCTGCCTGTGACGATGCTTCTGTCCTTGTCGAGGKTGCCTCTCTAATAGATACACACCTTAAGAGAGGTTTTTCACACACAAAGACAGACRGACGAGCACAAAGGAGAGGAGGTAATGACGCTGCATGAACTCTCCCTCCATATGAGAAGCCCCACAGAGTTTTTTGTCATCCAGCCCTTTTTGCAGATGCTTTCTTCAAGGCGGGCRGCTAGAAACCCCGGACTGACAACACAGCAGGCCACACAGGCTGCACTGAATGCTCGATAATTCACTTGCATGGCAAATAAGGACTGATGCAAACAATTTCACACAAGTCCATATCAAATGGAAAGTGAATTAGAAGCATTTGAAAATTTCTTTTAGGTTTATTACWGTAGTATTTCCAGCACAAATTACTTCTGCGAAAGTACTAGAGAAATCTCTAGGCTAATCTCGAGGGGATAAATCCCTGATCACACAGTAGTGTGAAAAAAAATGTTTTCACCAGAACCCTTGTGCAAACACTCCAAGTCGGCCAGTATCTCATTAACGCTGCTCTCAAGCAAGGAGGCTTCTCTGRGGAGTCACATTCTCATTTTATCAGCCTCACAAGATCATCAGGTCAGACGCAAAATGTAATTTTATCTCATGTGACTATCACTAGTTCATCAGAAAGGAGACCTGCATTGAATTAGGGTTGTTTATGCTGCAGAATCGAGACATAAAAATGACAGAACAACGTCTTACAGAGGAGTCTAAACACGGACAATTCAATAGAGAGCCAGCAAGACGAGAGCCATCTGGAAAGGGTACAGCTATAATGAGTGGATGAGGTACCGGCAGCCGAGCAGAACCCATGAACAATAACTGCTATGTTTACTGTACCAGTCCTCAGCACAACAACTCAGGAGACAGCTGGCCAGTAGACTTGAGCAGCATCTGTCACTGTCAGACCAGCTTGTTCAGACCTGTCTTTAATGTAATTAGAAAATAAATGAGGAAACTGAAACAGAGCAAAGATTACGAGACGTCCCACTGCCATGTCATGAAGGTCATTTGAGGGTATTTAAAGCAATAGTTCAGGGTTCTGTGTAATACTATTTTATAAACATTTACACTGCCGTCAATTTCACATCCCACAGTTATACTCAGTTTGATCAATAAATACACAATGCTGCTGCCAGAAGTCTTAGAAAACTTACTTCCAACATGCAAAGCTCTCAATTGCCAAGCTCCATCTTATATTAAAGACCTTGCTGTTTTATATTTTCCTAACAGAGCACTTTGCTCTCAGACTGCAGGTTTACTTGGGGCTCTTAGCTTCTAAAAGTAGAATAAGAGGCAGAGCTTTCAGTTCTCAAGATCCTCTCTTGTGGAACCATCTTCCAGTTTCTGTCTGTGAAGCTGACACTCTGTCTACTTTCWAGACTGGACTTAAGAGCTTCCTTTTTGATGAATCTTGTAGATAGGGTTTGTTTGAGCTGATGTCCTTTTATTTA